TCCAACCCACCATCCGCAGTTCGCCCATGCCACTTTCACTCGCACCTGGGACAGATCCACAACTTGGCAGTGCCCCGCTCCTTCTGGAATCCCGCTTTTGAGGTCTCCTCGCTGCTGGCCTTCCATCAACTGGGGCTATCGCTCGGGGTCTAACACCGAAGCGGCAGCGGAGCCCGTTCCCCGGACCTCCCAAATTAGCACACCTCCTTGCGCAGCCAAGTGGTCAATCAGGTGAGGATCGGTTTACGTTCCCTGGCCTGGGGAGATTCGCTGGTGGTCTCGCCTGCCGCACGGGTCGCAGATGGCCGAGGCCGCTCCGCCTGTGCGCAGCCCTGTGCAAAGATTGGCGCTCCCTGTGTTGGCGCTGCCAGGAACGCGGGATGCCTCTTGTGCGGGCTGTCCTGGCACGCCACTCGCAGACGAGTGTATTCATGTGAATGGAGTGATGCATCACTCCATTCTGGCAGTTGCGTGCGCAAGGTATTGTTTCTGCCGGGCGTGCACTGCGGCGAAGATTAATCCATGCCACAATGTCCAAACCGGGTGATCCCCTGGAAACCATTTGTCAGTAAGACATCGAGCTATCTGAGTCACCATTGCTTTGGATTCTCGGCGTCATCTCCTGCAATGTCCCAAGATCGTAGATCCGCAGATCGCCCCGTGATGTTCCAGCGTGCGCCAACGTTATGGCCTGTCTCTGCTGAATGAACACCGTTGAAAGTAAAAGCAGTCTTGTATTTCCGCCGTCTTATTACTGTGTTTTGTGGTGGTTTGTTGACTACAACACAAGACACCCAGGTTTTTGTTTGAAGCCGGTGTCCTTCACCACCATTTAGGCATCAACCCGAGGCACCCACGAGCATTGTGTTCCAAGTCGCCTAGCAGTACTTACCATTTCACTACAGTGATACTCACACCCTGCGCACTGCCCACTCGCACGTGCGCAGCTAAGGGAGGACACTATGTCGATTTTGGTACGCTTAGCTTCAAATTGACGCTAAGGAGGGGGGCGACCTGTGACGCTAAGAGATTATGCAATTGGCACAAAATCGACATCAGGAATGAATGTGCCCAGAAACGCCACTGACAAACGGTAAACAGCCCCTGACATATTCCCAAGCCTGTTGCAAGTGTTCAATCTTCAAAGAAAGCCATAGAATGGATAAATTTTCAGCCATTGAGGCTGCCCCGCATCACTACAAAGGCACTTAGAATCCCGTTTTCCAGCCCACTAAAATCAGCACAACTTTCATTGTTTTTCTCCTTAGAAACACCTGGAAGTTGAATACCTCTGTTAGGTAATGTTGCTGAGTCATCCTGGCTTCGACACAAGAATTGACGCTAAGGAGGGGGGTGGGGTCTCTAAGCTTAACGTCAAATTGACGCTAAGCGTACCAAAATCGACATAGCGTCTGCCCTAATAGAAACTCACTCTTGCCCGGGGGGTTAGGGCGGGTGGAAATTGGGACCCAAGGAAGGCATAAGTAGATGCACCCACTCAGCCCCTCGACAAGCCCGCCACTTCCAAGGGCGCCATACTGTCAATGGCTCTCCTTGGATGCCGTGGCCTTCAGATGGTCCCAAGGTACTACAGTAGGGGTCCCGGTTTAGCGACCACTTGAATAGCGACCGGACAAGTTCAACGACCGCCTGGACGGCTTGTCACCATTCTGTAGTACTCTATTTCACTGTGACAGGCCCCAGCGCCCGCGACTTCGGCGCTCCGACTAGGTCGCTGGCACCAAAAGTCAGTATAGGCCCGGTAGGCCGGGTGTAGTGTACCCCCTACACTGGCTTCCAGGGTACCCCTACACTGGCGGCCAAGGTACTCCCTACACTGGCGCCCAGGGTACCTCCAATACTGGCTGCCAGGGTACCCCCTCAACCGGCATATAGGATAAAGATAATCGAACCACGCAATGGTGGGCATATCTGGCGGTGTTTGGGGAAGCTCACGAGACGCCTTGCGGGACTTGCACTACTGCTAGACTGCGTTAAGTACAGCTGAAGGGCTTAAAGTACTGCAGGGATTTAGCGACCACGGACAGGTAAAGCGACCACTCAGCCGGCTTGTCACCAGTGGCCGCTAAACCGGAACCCTCGCTGTAAGTGCCCAGAAATCGGAGTGCGCGGCCACAAATTGCTCACAAAGTTGACTGCTTATTTAAACCGTTGGCGGAACCCCATGAATCAAGACAACCTTCGCTGCTGCGCAGGTGCTGCGGGGGACCGCGCTGCAGCGCCCGACCTGCGCCCTCACGCGTTCGGTTGGAAAGCAGCCCGTCTGACCTGCGGCTCCGTACCGTGCGCACACCTCTACATAATGCCGATGGCCCTGATAAAACTGACCTCCTACTCACTGCCAACCACGCCAAGGCATCACCACTCCCTCCTGTGCGCTGTACGCGAGTCCCTGCAGCCCGAAGACCCCGCCGAGGGCAGGCGACCGCGGACCCAGAGGTGAGCGAAGCGGGGGGCGAGGAGGGGCGGAACGAATCCGCTTGCCTTCCCCGCGCCGCGCGAGCCGCAATGCACTCGCGCCCATCCTCTTGGTCCCACCTCGGCGCTCCGCCTTTTCACAGCGCCACCTCTTGAGAAAATCCTCGTATTGCGTTCGGCCAACCTCAGCGTGACATTCCGCGATTACAGCAACCATCTCCGGGCGAAACCATCAACCGCCCCGACTCCTCCCAGCCCTCCCTTAGCGCCTTCCCTACGGGCCTTGCTCCCGGCCGTGGTACAATCGTCCAGCCCTTGACATTTCGAGACGGGTCTCAGCCGCTCTGTGGGGCGGCGCACAGACGCTGGCCCGCGCTTGGGATGCTCGTTCCGCCTTGTTGCCGCCCTTGAGTCTATGGGCCGTGGGGATAGGGGCGGTGGATTTGGGTACCTGAGGCCAGGCGTAGATCTGGCAGGCGAATGTCCCTCGAGGACATCGGACGAGCGGTCGCCCACGCCTAGCTCCGTCAGCAGCGCCACGTTCTCGTCGGACGGCGTCCTCACGTGGAGCTCGGCAGCGATGCGTGGCGAGAGGCTGTGGAACGCCCGCCGCCTTGCGCGGAGCTGGCGTTGGCGCAGTGCCGAGCTTGGAGGCTGCAGGATGGCCTTTTGCGTCGATGCAGCGCAGTGTTGCGCCGGTCAGCTGCTTTCTTGCACAAGCTTAGGTTCGTGCTGGTCCAAAAGGGGGGCATCTTGGGCCCCACTTTGGGTTGTCTTGCCATGGAAGCTGACAATCTTTGGGGTGTGGGGTTTGAATAGTAGAGGGGGCGAAGACAGAGGGCAGGACAACAGCGCAGTTCTCGTGCCTTTCAAGGTCGCAGTAGTGGCTTCCTTCCCATCCATAGATTTGCCGCTCCGCTGCTGGTCCGCTTTGTTTCATTTTCTTCCCCACCACCGGGACTCAGAGATCTGCGCGGGCGGACGGCCACTGGGCGACACAGATTGATCGCTTCAGGTCCGGTGGCGCCTTGAGAGCACCGTCCGCTGCAAGGATGGTCCTGGCCTCTCAAGACCGGCATCTGTCGCTGGCTGTGTGTCGTTGGAAAGCGCATTGGCACCGGCGGAGCCCAGGCGCGGAGAGCTGCGTTGCTCCCTCTGATCACGCTCAACACTGCGAAGCGCCACCGCTGCCCCGATGTCGATGCGAGCGGCTCACGGTTGGGTGCCAGGAGCGCACATTTCCATAAGCGCCTGCCGTCGGGACGCGGAAGCACAGGCCGGTCGCTGCCCCTGGTGGAGCCGTGGGAGGCCCTGCTGCAAGCGGCGTCCAAGGGCCCAATGCACAGGACTCCCCGTTGGGACACGCCCAACCCACGTGACCAATCCTGCACCGGGCGCCCTGCCGTACAGCTCTCCGTCAGACATGGGCGCCCAGGGGCGCCGAGCTTGATCCAGTGGTCGCTTTGACGGCGTCGTGGCGATCGCCCGCAGAGGCCCAAAACGTGGGAGCCCAGGTTTCTCCTGGGATGGCGGGCGGTGGCGCTTCGGCGGTGTCGGTGCGCCGCGTGGAACGTCCAGAAAGCGGCCCTGGGCTACGGCGTGCGGCGTGCGCTCCACGCTCGGTGCGACCATCGGTTACGCTCTGCGCATGCCGGGGGCGGGCGCCTTGCTGGGCGAAACGGAATCCGTGGTGACTGGGGATCAGTTGCCGCTCCGGGTCTGTTTTTTCTCCAATGGGAGCGGTTGAGAAAGGAAAGCGCCACGCATGGATATTCCCGTGCTTGTGCCAGGGGCGTTGTGCTGGGTTCCTCAGTGATGCGGGAAGCGCCACGTGCGCGAGTCCTTCCAGAGTGTGCCCCGATGGCTTGATTTATGCTGGGACCTGCGCGTTGAGAAAAATGTTTATGGTGCGTTGCGGTGGTGTGGCCCCGGTCTCAGCAGCGGACAACAAAGCCAAGGGGTGGGATTGGTGGGTGCTTTGGGCCACGCCGATGGTATTCGTCGATCTCGGCTCCCGACTCTCAGGTGGCTGGTAATAAGCCACCGCACAGACCCGAATTCGGCAGATATCCAGGTCCAGTTGACATGCCTGGGTTTGTCCACTTGTGCATGGCATGGTCCACGGACTTGTTAACCGCGGTGTGCGTAGACATGGATTGGGTCAGATTTTGACGACCCTGGTCTTTAAGAGCTCCTTTGGACGCCAGCCTGGGGAGGGCCGGCTGCTTGCTTAGAATAGCGCTGGGCGTGCCGTGGGCGTTCTCATGGAGTTGTGTGCTTGCAGGCAGAACTGGGCGCCGAGTAGCTTGCAGTTGGCAGGGCCACTGATCACACAACACTTGGTGGTGCAGTCTAGCCCGGCTGGTGCCCAGTGAGAAGAAAAGGCACCAGCAAGGCCGCAAGCGGAATCTGGGTCCAGGCGCAGGGTACCTCCCCTGTTGCACATCGGTGCAGTCCCCTGTTGTGGCAAGGGAGCAAGTTCGGATTCCCTTAGAAATTCTCTTGGCCTGGGGGCATACGGCACAAGGATCCACGCCAAACAGGCGTGACCTTTGACAGCCATGCCGAAGCAAAGTTATTACACCGGCAAGGCAGGGCTCCTCATGTGGGTGAACGAGATACTGGACCTCAATGTGTCATCGTTCGATGAGTTTTCCAACGGCGCGGTGTACTGCCAGATGATGGACGCATTTTTTGAGGAATGTGTGAGCATGGCCAGGGTAAGTAAGAGCATTAGGAACTGGACAAGGTGGGGCAGAAATCTTTGGTGGACTTAGCATGTCGATGCAGGGTATCACAAGCGAACCTAGCTTGTGTCAATGGCATCACATTCACGAGAACTTCCCTGTGCCTGAATTTTTGACCCAGGAACCGATTCTAAGGATCCCCTTGAAGATGCATTTTCAGCACCAGACTCTTGCTTTGTTGTGGTTTGGGCACGATATCTGAAATCGGCTGCAGAACAATGCACATCTTTTGATTCCAGTGTTGTTGTGGCCCGCATCGCAGGTGAATTTCCACGCTGAAAAGGACTACGAGTCCTTTGCAAATTTCAAGATTTTCCAGGCAGCCCTTGTGTCTGCTGAGTTGCCAAAGCCGATGAATGTCCAGGTGAGCATCGCTTGTTGGGAGTCATTGTTGTGGAAACATTGCTTTTTGCAAATGCCTGTTATACACTCCTGAGGTCTATATAACTGTTTCCGCTCCCTATCAAGCTGGTCAGCCCCACCCTCACCCCTAGCCCAGTCCTTCGTTTGAGGCACACAGTGGCCCCTTTAGGGTATGCTGTTCAATGTTGTGAGCGTATTGAAGGTGAGATGTGATCCGTAAACTGTGGACTCTCCATCTAGTCCGCTTAACAGCATAAACAACAACACCAGCCGCTAGACAACAGATGCGGGGTGCGATGTGCCCACACATGATGTTGGACATCACGTGCGACCATTGTTGTGCCAAATGTGCAACCACGGCTGCATCGCCTTGCCAGTTGCACTCTTAACAATGTGCTGTATGATTTCTTTGTGATTTATCAGGGCCTCATCAAAGGGTCGCACAGGGATCATCTGGAACTGCTGCAATACCTTTTCATGGTGCTGTCCAAGTACTCCACCATCCATGGTTATGATCCGGATGCCCGCCGCCGCTTGACTCCGAGCAAAGGACTTCAGGGCAAGATTCCCATCCCCATGCTGCGGCAGGCCAAGTTTGATGTCCATGGTCGGGTGGAGTCAAGGAAGCTTGTCAACAATGGGGATAAGGTTGGTTTGTTGTAGATGATGCATGGGTGGGTGATCTGATGGTCAGCAGTTCTGTGCAAACAGAACAGTTGTACTTTGGGCTCTGCTTTCCGGACGATCGATTGCTGTTTCCTTTCCTTTGGGGAAAGAAACACGTTTAGGTGCTGGCACAACTTGCTGAATGCTTTGCCAGCTGTGAACCATCAAGCCTGAACTGTGGAATCTGCCCTGAAAGCTGCTCTGGGTGGCAGCTTGTACTGGAAAGTTGTGCTGTTGGCCATTGGGTGGACAAAAAAGGCATGTTCTCAGGCACCATGTTTCACCTGTATGCTTTTATATGGATGGTGAGTTGTTGTGAAGAAAAAATCACAAAAAATAGAAAAAATTTTCGAGGTGCAAGTTGTTAGTGATATGGTCAACTGCAACCACTGCAAAGTATCAGGTGGAGCAGCTGCTACTTTGGCTTTATCTTTGCCACAGTTCAGTGTCAAAAGACAATTTCAAGATGAGTCCTTTGCTTGCAGTGCTCCATCCTGTTCCAGGCATCGTGCTCTTGAGTGACTATGTGTCCAAAGGTTGTGCTCCAGGCACGAGATCCCCTCAAGGGCCGCCTGAAGACGCCACCGCCAATGTCCAAGAAAGCTGCCAGAAACAGGTCCTTTTCACCAGGGATGCGGTATGACCCCAATGCTGACCCTTGCCCTTCACCAAGCGCAAGCCAGGATAGCATGGCATCCCGTGGCTCCCCTGAGCCTAACTCGAAGGCTATGGCCATCCCCAGGCTGGAGCTCCAAGCTGTGCCCAAGTCCGAGGGCACTCCCAACCCATCACCCCATGGCTACTCGTCGTCGACCCCTGATCCGAGTGGCAAGGGCTCTCCTCGTACCGACGTGCTGCTCTCTGAGATTATTCCACCTTGTCTGAAATCAGCGAAGCAAGGGGTGCAGGCCTTTGGGCAGGCTGGCCAAACACTGAGGGCGCTGCTGGAGCAGCTTGGGACCCAGCACGACACTTACGCATGCAGGGCGAAGCTGCACAGCCTCCGGGATGCGATGGCCACCCTCATGAGGCACACAAGGTGCACTGCTGGTGCTGTGTTATGACTCAGTTCCTGCAGGATCTTGAGGACAAGCAAAGCAGAACCCCATCTAAAACAAAAGACAAAAGAAACGTTGCGTGTTCCAGCTCAAAGAGCTATGAAACTCAAACAAAGTCAATGGCATACAATATCAGAAATTGTAGAGTTTTGAGGGCAGGTGTTGTTGGCATATGCTATGTCTGCAAATGGCAGAGTGTTGCGCATCTTTCGTTGCTGTATATTGGCCCTGAACCACGACTTTGATGGTGGCAAGAAACGCTGTCCCCTCTTGCTGTCCCTTTCTTCGAAACTTCCATTTGTGGTCTGGTTCACTGTGACTGCAACCAGACAGAACCAGTCATCATTTGGCGTCAATGACAATTCAAATAATTACAATGCAAAATAATTGCAATACAAATAATTGCAATAGCAAATTTACTATGACCACAACCAGTCAGAAACGACCATCATTTGGCATCAATGGCACAAAATGAACATTATTTCTGTCTGGTTCTCTATACGATTGGCCTTCTGTGTTTCACTTTCTTGATTGTCCACCTCCTTGCAGTCTTCTGCTCGATGACTTGGTTGCTCCAGTCAAGAAACTGAAGGAGTTGGGAGTGAAAGATGGAAGGATGCTTGAGAAGGAGTCTGGTCATCTTGGCGACCAGCTGGCATCTGGCAAGCAGGTCTTCCAAAATCTTATTATTGATCTGTCTAATGCTGAGAGGAGGCACCCAGTTCCAAAGGGCACAGGCGAGAGTGGCATATCAGACCAGCTTAGGGAGCGAACTGAGTCTGATAACTTGGATGGTGCACTGAGAAAGGTGGGCATCCTGAACCATCAGAGCTGTTGTCCATAGCATTACTGTATCAATCAATGTGAATGGGATATGAATGAAAGGGTTGTGGGACAACCTGCCAATTTTGTTCAAACTGCATGCTTGTCACAGACAGTGCATTGGTGACTTTGCACTGGTGACTTTATGCCATTTGTGCATTGTGGATGCTCCCTACTCCTGCCTGTTCCCCTTCAACCAAAGTGCTGCGTGTAGCTCTTTGTAAGAGACTGCAGGGTGGGGATCATAACTGATTCAGGACATCAACACAGCATACACACTGGCCCATGAAGGTGATGAGGGCCACAGCCGATGAGCGGCAGGAAACTTGCCAGAAGCCATAGTGTGGGTATAACATTGCCAGATGTCTCGTGCCTAAATTCACCATGCGTTTATGCCTATTGAAGTCACACTTGCCATTCAACGTACTTCCACAGCAAGTCTGGAAGGAAGGGCTTGTGCCCTGTGTTACTGACACAATGCTTGGCATCAAGTTTCACTCACTTTGAAAGTTGCGGTGTCGTGGCACCTGTAGGTTGGAGCGGCAAAGGCAGCACTTGCTCGGGCCCTTCAAAAGATCGGTGGTTTTGAGGTTGGTGGCAGGGAGGGCCGCGGGTCAAGGCAGCTGGATGAACTAACTGTGGAGCTTGGCAAGGAGCTTGGAAATGGAGTGGACCTTGATGAGGGACTGCGGGCACCCCACCCGGAGCGTGTTGAGAAGGTCGAGGAGTCTGAGGCTCACAATCCAGTAAGCCAGCGGTGCAGCATCATACTATTGTTTTGCCTGGAATGACGAGTCAAACATCTTCAGAAGTGCTGGTTGTGGAACTGTGCTGGGAATAATCTGTTCCCCCCTCTTCCTTATTCTTCATACATATGGGCATGATGCCTACACCTGTTGGCAACATGCAGTAGCAACAGCGACAGAGAACATTGATGGCTTGGTGACAGGAGCAGAGTGGCAGCATGACATGAAGATCAATGTAATCAATGCTGCTTGACCAGGACAGTCAGGCAGCAGGGCATGCACCGCCTTTGATTATGTGATTGGGTAGAGGGGCCTCATATATGCGATTGCAGTCCAAACAATTATACCCAAACAGTGGCAATGGAGCAAATTCCTGTCTTGTGTGTGACAGCAGCAGGGCGGCAATGGCGATGGTGGAAATGCTGCTGGCACCAGTGAAGTGTACAAGGGGCAGTACGTGAAGAACAAGAAGTGTGGCTATGGAGTCTACACCTTTGTGAATGGGGACACATTCCAAGGAGAGTTCAAGGATGATGAGATGCATGGATACGGGCTGTACACATTCTCACATGAGGGCCACTATGAGGGCCAGTGGGTGATGGGGGTGTATGAAGGACTGGGAACCGAAACATTTGCCCTCGGATCAACATACCATGGGCAGTATGTTGAGGGCTCCCGCAATGGGTGGGGTGTGTGCAGATACTACAACGGTGACTATTACGAGGGACAGTGGAGAGAGGGACTTCGAGAGGGAAGAGGAATGCAACAGGTAAAGCCAAGACATTGTGGACAACACATGAAGCCTAGTAAGTGTAAATAGCAAAATGGAGACAGCAATGAACAATAGAATGGCGACCATGTGATAGTTATTCACTGAAACGGGTATGCTGTCAGCTCCTGATCGAGTAATACATCGCTTCCTGCATCGGTGCAAAAGCAGTAAGTGCTGTTGTCGATGTTCTGTACATGCTCGGTTCTGACAGCTGTGCATTCTTACCCACAACCCACCTACTGCTCTGGGCATCTTGTGCGTCCATTCCCAGTTTGAGTAAGAGCACACTTTTCTGGCAGGCATGTTAGTGAACACCTTTGCTGGAAAGAGGGTGAACCTAACTTTTTTGTCAGGTACTAATTCTACGCCCACTTGTAACAGTAGCAACATTAGCAATACCAGCAGCTGTTTGGGGTGTTACTTATGTAACGTTAGCAGCATAAGCAGTGACATTTCCTTGAACGCTACACTCAAGACCCTCTTTTACCCTTGTGCCACAGTGCACGGATGACAGCAACTTCGTGGGCGACTATCTGTACGGCAAACGCCATGGCTACGGGATCTACAACTTCCCCAATGGGGACCAATACTATGGGGAGTATGTGAACGACATACCACACGGGCATGGGGTGTACCGGTTCAGCAATGGTCAGAAATACGAAGGCCAGTGGCAAGGTGGTAAGAAGCATGGCTCCTGTGTCTACACTGTGGAGACGAACGGTGTGTGGGAGAAGTGGGCTGGAGAATGGGAGGAGGGTCGCCCTGTGTGGGTGGAAAGCCTGTCCAAGTGGAGTGACAATCTCACTGGCATCCCAGATGACCTCAGGTCCAAGATGGACAAGGTGCACTTACGCTGGGTGTTCTTGGGCGATGTGAAGATGTTTCTCAACAGCACAAAGTGCTGACAGAGTTATTGTTTTGATTGCGCTTGCAAGTTCCACTGCCCATTGCCCATTCGGCTTGAACCAAGGAAGAAACAGGGCCCTGCCATCCAACCCTTGGTTATGCGATTGCCTATCTTTGAAGTGGGGAGGGCAGTTGTTTTGCTGTTACACCCCACTGGTGGGCAGTGTGATGTCCACCTTGCATCCACAGAATTCTCGGACAGCTCTGCACCCCATCAGGGTATCATTCAGAATGCTGTTCACAGAACAAGAAATGTGGGACATTCTCTCTTGCTGAGCGTGTGTGGCTGAGATGGAGCAAAGCATGGCAGTTGGAAATCCTTTGGTGCCTTCCAAAGACGGAGGCACGCATATTGTTGGTGTTTGTACCAATTCATCTCGTATTCGCAATTTTCTCACAAGGTTGACAGGGTTTATGTTCTATAGTTTATATCAACCAGTTGGCAGCGCAGAGCTGAAATTGGCTCAGTGTGCAATTTCTTAACAGCTGTTTGCTAGTAGTGCTCCACTCTGTTGAGAGAAGTGTACAACACGTCACGAAGTGCGGACAAGCGTCTCAATGCATGTTCTGCGAGATGCAAAATGTGCCTCAGCATGTTTTTTTTTCTCAGAATCATTTCCTGCTTTGGACGGCTTGAAAGTCCTCACGAGCTGTGTGCTCAAAAGCAGGCGATGGAAGCGTGCAGCAGGGCCCAGGATGTTGGGAAGATCGGCAAGTCTCGTGCGGAGGAGCACTGGCAGACGGATGGGCGCATCCAACGTGCAATGCGCGAAGTCGTGCACAAAGCCGACAAGGCAGCCATGCTGGCTCGCCAGGGCCAGCGGCGTGCCATGGAAGTCGCTGCGAGGCTTGACGCCTCGGAAGCCAGAAAGAAGTCAAAATCAGCCGGTGCACGGGTGGCCCGATGAGCGCGGACACGATGCTGCACCAAGTTATCGGTGCCTGCAGTGCTGGGTCGAGCAGCCCAGAGCCGTGCGTGTGGGAACTTGCGCTGATTGGACACAGTTCTGTGGGCTGCGGTGTGTTGCTGCCAAATCATGTGCACAACCCCAGGGGCTTGTGGTTTCGCGTCATGTAGCCGCCTTGCATTGCATGGATATCCAGAGCTTAGCGCACGAGTGCAATAGGCGAGCGAGTAGAGCTGAGTGATGGGCCAGCCCTGATGCCTGGACCGCACTTGCCGATCGCTTGAAACGGGTTCTGCCATCTTTTGGGGAAAGGTGGCGAGCAAACTGTGCACGTTGCGCAAACGCGAGGCACTGCAGTGTCCATGTTGTAGCTGGTTTGCGGCAAAAACAAAACGCTGCATTAGATGTACGACGTTTTTTTAGGAAGAGGTTCTGTGGGGCGGCGCATCTGATGTTGTTGCCTATGTCTGCTGTCCGGTATTTATGGTACCGTTCTGTATTTAGTTTTGGGGCCAAGCGAACTCAAGCACTGATCTGCTACGTGGCACGAGCTGCTGGTGTGTTGATATGCGGGGTAGTAGAAAGGTCAGAGTCTTGGGGCTGTGAAGGAGCGGCTCCTCGCGGGAACTGTACAGCTTGCCATACAGGGTGCACTCCATTAAGGAGAGAGTCCAGTAGCGGGGTTGCAACGAGGAGCTGACCTTTGCATGTGCGAACTGACATTCAAACCTAGTGTGGGAAGCAGATGCGCTCGGAGCTTCGGGAACGCCGGTGAGGCGGGGGGGGAGGGGGGGAAACGGGGGGAGAGCTCTCTCCCGGCACCAGCTGTTTAACGTCACAGTGCACACGTGGTGCCAGCCAAGAGGGCGTCACGGCTGCATTGCTGTTCGATGCACTGTACGCATGGACGCAGCAGTGGGGTGTGGAGGGCTTTGGACTTTCTACTTGTCGTGTCCGAAAGGGTACTGTTTGCACTTGGAATGCTGGCAATTGTTACCTGTGCCTGTGGTTGCCAGGCATTCGCATGGACTGAGGGTGCATAGACGGGTTGCTTCAGTGGCCCAGTGCATGTGATTAGCGCTGTCGGGATTGTTCAGACAACTGAGGGGCTGCGGAGCAGACGAGCTGAAGGGCTGCAAACAGCGAGGCCCTCAACGAGCGGCACAGCAGAGGTTACGGACGAGAAGGATGACGGGACTGGGGACTGTTGGTTCGCTGGTGTAACAGCGACATATTTCTCACCTATCCCTGTTGCATTCCTTCCGTGCGGTGGTTTGCATATCTGCGAGCTTTGTGTCGTGTGCATCGGCTGAAAACGAGTGCAGTTGTGATTCCCTGCAGGCGACGTGTTAGGTGCCCACCACCAACGACCGTGGCCTATCGCATGTGCGTGTGACGCTTGTAATCGACACTCGGGAGAACTGTCCACATAAAAGGAGTCTGTCATAAACACGTTCCTGAATTGAATCCTCTGCAGCCCATGGGAAATCAGGGAAATAGACAGACAAAGTTCAGCAATACTATACAGTGCGCGAAAAGGAAACGACACTCATGGTTTGCTCCCAGTTCGCCGTCACCGTCGCTGGACCCTCTGCCACCAAGAGAAACATCGACACGTCAAATGCAGCATGGTGACCATCAGTTCGAATTTCAGTTCATTGAAAATGAACTGCCAAACCCACCAAAAACGCACTTTCTGTGGTCTCATTTCTCGCTGCATGTCTTAAATAGTAGCTGTCACACTGGAGCCCACATTCGTCGACCAACGTCATGCGGCGCTTCCGCTGCCCGGTACATCCAACGCCCACGAAAATTCAGACAGCAGAACAGAGAGTAGCAGACCATCGTCATCCACAGATACCCATTCCCCTCTCCCTCGCATGCGTCCCAATCCATCCAAGAGAATACAACAGTACCAAAAAATGCCACAATAACACTGTCCAGTCACACTTGGGCTGCACGGGTGGCAACAGTGCTCTCGGTCACCGCCCAGCTCACACGCCTCTCACACCTAAAAGCATTGCCCCCCAGCCTCCCCCTAAACTGCTTTCCCATTCTGCTCAGCGACCGGAGGCCCGCACGGCGGCTGTAGCGCCAGCACAGGCAGCTTCGAATCAAGCCAGTTCTGGAATGCCACCTGTCGCCGATGCTGACCGTCCTGCACGCTAGCGGCCCCCTTAGACCGCTTCTTTCTGATTAGGATGTCCTCTGTGTCCTGGATGTATATCAGTTTGGACGTCTCACACAGCAGCTTGCATTCCAAACCGTTCTCCACGTAGCATTCTGAAAGGCGCTCGCTCTGCTCTCCGGGCATCAGGTTGCGCCTCAGGAACACAGGCGCGTAGCCCTCGTCCTCCTCCTCTCCAGGCACTATCGCCTCACCTAGGAAGCTCCTCAGGTAGTCGGCGAACCCTGGCCTTAGGATCCCGGCGCTGGACTCCCCGCACAGGGAGTCCATCATAGTGATCTTCAGATTTCTGTCCGCGCCCATTTCTATGCGAAAGCAGTTTTCGTCACGAAGGATCACCCTGCAGTTTGAATGGTACAATTCGTCGGTTGGCGAGAATGCCCGCGATTTCTCATACTCATGCAGCTCCCAGATCTTCAGCGATATGTCGTCCATCACCAGCGTCTGCGTCTGCTTCACGAGGCGGAAAATCAACTTGTCCAGTGTGAAGAGCACGTAGGAGTTGGTGCTCAATAGCGTCCTGCATGCCACAGCCACAAATGGACCACACATTAGCACGTATTTGGATGCCTAGCTGCCCTGATTCTCCACACCAGAATTGGAGACTGGCTCAGCCTCACAGGAGCCCCTTGCGACTTCAGGTCATAAGCCCACGGCACTCCAGAGCCACAGGGCGCTGCTGGTATCAAGGACCACATGGAACTGCAATCCACCACTTCAAAATCGCATGCTGAAAGCACAGATCGCGAAAATGGCAAACACCCCTCCAGAACAGCAATTGTGCAGTCAGCTTCTCTTCCAGAAAGCAAAGTGATTGGGCAATTCCTGATTGTGTGACATATACAGCATGCAACAGAGAATAGCAAGAAGACATTCACTTTTGACAAGGTAGCATCCATGAGTGCGCAAGTGATACAAGCTGAAGGTCAATGCTGATCACTTCATAATGGCACAGCACCCAGTGCCAGCAGCGTCCTGCTGGTGCTAAGCATTGCCGGATCCAGCCCCTGGCATGGAGCATTCAGCATATTACAGGTGGTGGGCTTGTACCTGCACCTGTCCTCAAATTGGGACATCTCTATGTTGCCATCCAGCAGTTGAAACACCATCTCCATGAACATTGAGCGAATCTTCTCTGCACCATCTGCATCGCCAGATTCAGCATTGGCATCTGGTTCTATTCCCTGGTGGAGGGGTGTGCTGGCCCGGTCCTGAGACTTGCAGCACTTGCGAGCCATGCTGAGCCTTTGGTGCAGGTAGTGGTGCAGCCTGAAAAAAAGGTAGAAGGGCTCGCTGCAGTACAACAACTGCTTGTCTCCCATCGAGCTGCTCGTCTCCGACTTGATATCGGTGCACCTGTGGCCGATCGATGTCAACGGTTGGCAGCCGCCAAACAGTCGGGATGGGTCCTGCTGCCTGCCGTGTAGGTCCTTCCCGACTTCCATGAGCTCCTCAGCACCATTATCGCTGGCATCCTTCTCGGTACCTGGCTCAGGAGGAGGTGCCTCGCCGATCTCCGGCGACTGTCTAGCTTGCTCTTCGTCGTTCACCTGCTGCTCTGAGCACGCCTCCCGGGGGGGGGCAAGCGGTGCAGACACTTCACCACTCCCGTGCTCCCTCTCCTCCTCGTCCATATCCGTCATCATCCTGGAGCTGGGCTCATCAGCCTCCCCAGCCTGTTCCTTGTCTTCTTCCTCCTCACCAGAGGCCATGGAGTCGTGATCGTCAACCTGGCGGGGCTGCAGCCCGAACATGGGCTCCACAAACTGTACCCAGAAGCGCATCACCTGTCTGCGGGCGTCCAACGACAGCATCTTGGACGAGGCAAAGCGCACGATCTGGTACACGTCTTCATGGACCATTTCATCGGGGTATTCCAGGGACATGTGCTCTGTCAGCGCTGAAGTCAGCGAGCAGGCTGCTGACAGGGCCTGAAGCCTGGTGTCGTCCTTCCTTCCCTTCTCCACAGCATCCTTGATCTCCTGCAGCAAGACCCTCTGGGCGAGGCTCTTCTTGTCTGCCTGCTTGAAGTAGAAACTCCGGTGGTCCAGCGACTTGTGGTAGTTCGCATGGAACACAGCCTGCCAGTTGGCATTCATCGTCTCCTTCACCTGTCGCCACTCCTGGTCCTTCTGCTGCAGGCGCAGCAGAACAACAGGGATCGCCACAACAGGGTTCTTCTTCAGAAGGTCCAGCACGTTCTTCCCCTGGTCCCCATATATCTTCTCTATGATGCGGTTGTGAATGGGGCTGAACAGGCCTTCCGGGGTCACAAAATTGGATTTCTCCTCCGGCGTCATGGCCTCCAAGCTATCGTGCACTGGCTGCAGCCTCCTGATGGCGGATGCATTGCGCTCGATCGCCATCTCCAGGTCGAAGCGCTCGTCCTCGCAGCGGAAGAGGTTCTCCTCATACTGGTTCTTCCTCATCTGCTTGAAGGCCGCGTCCTCCGTGCCCGTGGTCACGCTCACCAGCTCATCCTGGAGGACCTCCTCCCCCAGGGCGGTCTTTCCTGAGGACTTGAGGGTGGGGTACTCCCGGGGCAGCCGCACATAGGACGTGGTGGGCCGCTCCAGGGTGGAGGTGTCCAGCTCGGACACCGGCCTGGTCAGGTACTTGTTCCTCTGCGATGCACCCGCCCGGTTCCTCTGGAAGACCAGGGGCCCCCGCACGGCGCCCCCCCCGCCGGGCCGCACCTCCATATCGTCGTCCCCACCGGGGCAGGCCGTTATGAACTGCCTGAAGGACGCCATCACGTCGTGGTGCCGGCCGATGAGGTCCTGCACCAGGCCCAGCAGCTCCGACTTGGAGATCACGTCCTGGGCGTACAAGTTGATGCACTTCAGCAGGTCGCTGTACGCCTCCCGGTTGTTCAGCCTGCTGCGCACCTCCTCGAAGAACCGCACCTCCCGGTCGTAGTCCAGGCTGTCCCTAGTGCCCATGCGCCGGCCGGCCCCGCCCTCCACCGCCTGCCTGGCCGAACGCCGCCTCGGGTAGGAGGACTCCAGCGCGGCGTGGGACTGTGCGGACAGCTGCTGCATGGCCCGGGAGGGTGGGGACACGATCTCCTGGCCCCCGCCGGGCTCCACGGCCTGCGAGTGGTCCGGCAGGAAGTACCCGAACTCCTCCAGCAGGTCCTCGTGGTTGCGGAACAGGTCCGCCACCTCACGGTACACCCTGTGGATGTCCATCCGGCCCTGGCGGAAGCAGCACAGGATCTCCAGGAAGTTCTTGTACACGCGCTCGTCGTGCGCGAAGCGCGCCTTGATGCGGTTGATGTAGGTGATGGCCTGGTCCAGCTCCACGGCGGGGCGCGCCTCCCGCCGCTCGGGCGCCATCGTGATCTCCGACCCCTTGGGCAGGAAGGTGTTGAAGCCCAGGATGAGGTCGTTGTGGCCCTTGAGCAGGTCCTTCACGCTGCGGATGACGGTCGCGATGTCGATGCGCTGCGCCTTGAAGTCCTTCATAACGTCCAGGAACGCGTCGTACACGTCCTTGCGGTGGTTGAACCGCTGCTTGACCTCCCTCAGGTACACCAGCGCGTCGTTGGTGGTCAGCCCGGGCGCCCTGGCCCGGCCCGCCGACGGCGCCACGGCCACGGGGTAGGTCGGCCCGCCCGGCGTTCGCCGCGAGGTCGCCCCCATGCTGCCCTCGTCCCTCATGCCACGACACCCGCCAGGCCGCTAGTCCCGATGCAAGGATGGCGCCGCACAGTGCCGCTAGGGATCAGTTTGGGGGCGGAGGGACGGGGGGTTTGGGGTTGGGGGGTGCGCAACAGCGGGCGCCCGAGGGTCGACAGCCCGCTGGGGTTACCCATCTTGGGCGCCACGGGTCATTGCAGTTTTAATCGCGGCCTCGGGCGCTCGGGGCCGGGCCCGGCGCCGGCAGCGGGGCAGGGGCACCGATCTCGCGGGGGATTCGACGGGGTTAATGGTTAATGGTGGGGCTGATTCCCGGAAGCGAGGGGAAGCGAGGGGGCGCCACCGCAGTCCAAGCACCACACAAAGCACCGCACAGCACCCTTGTTCTCCATTTTTTTGGTTGGGTGGTGGGTGGTGGGATTTGTCACAAAGACAAAGAGAAATACAGGTCATGCAATAGGTCATGCAAAAGGGCACCCCTTCCAAGGCAAGTGTATGCGAGATTCCTGTCCATGCTGCGATGAGGTGATGTGAGTTTCAAGGAGGACGAGGGGGGATGGGCAGTCGTGGTTGAAACAAATCGACCTGGCCTTGGCGCGTGACATTTATGGATGTTGAATGCGGTGTGCTTTGGCTCCGTCCTGGGCCTGGATCCGCCTGGCCGGAGGTGCGGGGAGGTTGGGAACGGGATGCCCTGCGTCCGAGGAGGCCAACAGACTTTGTTCACGGTACAGTGGGGTGGCCTCTTTAAGGCCGCCCTGAATAAGGCCAAACGGTCAATAAGGCCGGTCAAAATCGGCCATATCTGGTGGCACGACCTCAAGTACTAGAAAGACGTGGCCACAGGCAGTTTGAGCGTGTGGGGGGCGCCGCCATGTCCTGCTTCAAAGGCAAGAAGTGCAGGCTGCCCCATGACACCCCCCAACCGCCTCACTACAGTGTACACAAGTGCTCTGGGCGTGATGGGTACCTCCACGGGATCAGCGGAGAAGTCTATCCTGATGGCGATTCAGAAATGGATCATGTGTGGAGCCTTTGCTACGATCGGGTTGTTGCGCCACCTCGATCCATTGTCGACGAAGGGCAGAGTATGGGCGAGTCGCTGCCACCATTCGATGCTATGGACGTTGACCAAGGTCCAATCTTGTTTAGTGTTGTTTAGAGTGATTATGAGATTGCCAAACAATTGGGCAAGGACAATGCCGATGGCAAGACTTTGTGCCGTACGGGGCGTTCGCAGCCCAGGAACCCTCGGGTACCTTGTACACTGGGCACTCGGGCCTTTACCGCTGTGTTAACGCATGCGCAGGGGCGTTTGCAACCCCATAGCACCGGTCACCCTGTTCAAAACCGCTCTCCTTCAATGGGACGATTGCCTACTGACAATCAATGCTACCAAGCAAAGTACTACGCTTCTTATTGGGCAAAGCATAAAGTACTAACAATATTCTGATATCAAAATACCCTTAAAAATAATCAATATATGCACCATATGATGTTAAATGTGCTGTACATGGCTTCTACAGCCTTAAGCGGGCTGTGGAGCTCAATAAGGTCAACGGTCAATAAGGCCGGTGAAATGGGGTTGCCACGGGGTGGCCTTAAAGAAGCCACCCCACTGTACCATGTCTGGTAGCAGCAGTGGTTCGGTGTCATGGCGTCTTGTAGGACCTAAAGAGGACCTGCGGAAGGGGCCTAAGGGACGAGGCCTTATTTCTTTTCTGCGGTTATTGGGCTGGTACCGATGGTACACCGCGCTGCACTGAACGCTGGCTGAGGACACTCCTTGCTCTCTGAAGATACAGTCTCGCAATCACCCAGTTGCTGAGGGGTAGTGCTGAGAACAGTCCGCAGGGAAGCTCCCCTGTCTCCACTGGCGGCGGCATGGTTCCAAAGTCGCCCGCCCTGGGCCGCACCTGCTCCGCGGGCCTCGCATTCCTTTCCCACCACACGGCGTGCGTCGGCCCCAGTCCCCCGCGATGGGCATCGTCCATTGGCGGCCCGGGCAGCGGGGACGCCAGAGAGGGTGTTGACGTCCTGCTTTCTTCCCTCCAGGCTTCGCGCCTGCAGGCGGATGCTCGCCAGAGTGCGAGCTACGGGGCCTCAATAGAAGTGGCGCCCAGCAATTGGGCCCTGATTGAGCATTGGCGGGCATTCAATTCGCCAATCTCGCTGTCGTCGCTGCCGCCATTTTGGACGCCGTCGCGGCTGGGCCGCGCACAGACGGGGCTTATGAATTGTTTTGAGCGCCCGACGTCATTCAGAGTGAGGGAAGCTGGCCCATCCTCGCCGCCGGCCGGACCTCTGTGTGGTGGCCGCGGCGCCCGGCGATTTGGCTTTTTCAGGGGTCAGGCTGTGATGGCGGCCGCAGAGGCAAAAGAGGTGGATCCCCCAGACCCAACAGCGCAGGGTCAAGCTGTGATGGCAACCGTAGAGGCAAAAGAGGACCTAGATCCCCGCCTTCGGCGCAGCATGGCGATCAACAAGAAGATCACGAGCATTTACAAACGATGCATGTTCAAGGTTCTGAAGTTGAGGGACTTCAGGAGGCACGATTCGCCGGAGGGCCGGGAGCGCGTGGGGGCAATGGTGTCGTCCTTCGAAGAGCTGCTCCAGGAGAACCGGGAGGTCTTGGACAGCGTCAACCTGATGACCATGTTCCACAGGTTCTCCATCGTCAGCACATTGTTCCCAACGTCCGAGTGGATGTGCCGCCAGCACGGTGATTTTCTGGGTGCGCTGCTGGGCCTGGCGTCCACCCAGTTGGACAAAATGGAGACGCACCACATGGGCAACTTCATGCTGGCATTGAAGCACCTGATGCCGCACCTAAGGGGCGTTGAGATACCGGTGCCACTCTGGAGGAGGTGGTGAATGGGGTGTCGGAAAACGCTGTGCGCGCCAAGGACGACATGAATCTGAAGAACATCGCCCACACAGTGGCGGGCGTAGTGTGCTTCGGCACTGTCGATCAGGACAAGGTAATTGCTGAGCTCCTCGGTGTCGTGCCGTCCAAGCTTGTTCTTGGCAAGACAACACCTCAGGATGCCTGCCTTTTGATATGGGCCCTTGGGAGGGCTCGTTGTAAGGATTGCAGTTCAGTGATTTCACAGCTGCTGGATGCCATCAGTTCGGATGTTGGGTCAGCAAGACCTGGGATGCTTGTGGATATAGTTTGTGGGCTTGGGGAGCTGGAATATGTGGGTGCTGATAAGTTCTTGCACTTGGCCATCCCTGAGCTCCTGAAAGGCAGTCCTACACTGTCAGTGAATCAGGCGGTGGAGCTGATTGTTGGCCTGGCCATGCTGAAGCACAAGAATGCAGAGGTGGTGGATTTGCTGGACATCTTGCGTCCTACAATTCAAATTAACATGTACCAGTTGGATTCTGCGGCCAGAGAGAACCTGACTCAGGCCCTAAACGCGCTCGAGTACAACCCAGGTGATCGGTTCTGGTCTGAGATTTTAAAGGCGGGAGACAGGAAAAGCCAGTGAACAAAGAAGACAGAGGGCTGGGAAGAGTGAGGGAAGATGCTGCAGTACGCACGCTGGTGGTTCCGATTGTTACAGTTTTGGGCCACAAGCCTGTTCCCCCTTGTACTTGTGCAGTGTTCACCAGCGGTGCACAACACACTATCAATATGGGCCAGGAAATTTTACTGCCGAGGACAAATTGCCATGTTATTGACAGGGACTCATGGTCTTGGTCATGGACGACACAACAAGTGCAGAAGCAGCGCATGAATGAATGACTCTGTTGGTTGCACATCGCCATTTTCCGACCGGTGCCAGAAGCTGATGCTACTCGATCTGCAAGCAGGCATGCTGCAGGGCCCCAGTGCAACAGGGGCTGCAAGAAGGCAAGATGGACTCCCTATTTGCCCAGGAGCTGGGCTCCTTATTTGGTGCTGCTAGGCAGCCCTGGCATAGTGACTGCGTCTGTACAGAAAGGGGCATTGGACATGGATTGCAGCAATTGGGCTTGCGCCATCACCTGCAATGAGAGCCACCGCAGATTTCAGGTCCCAAGAAAGTGCAGTAAGGTTTGCTCCTTTTTGTTGCAATCGGCGCACGGGCACAGGAATTGCTGCCGCCTTCTCTATCAGATGCAAAGAGGGGCGCTCTCCTGTAGGAATGCCAATCAGAGAGTGATGTAGACCCAGGAAGGGCACCTGACGGTGTTGTGACGGGGGCCGCTGTCGAAATGGGCAAATTCACGATTTAGTCCAAAGTGAAATGAAAATGCATTTCTCGCCCAGCTGGCTTGCCAACCCATCATGCCTGTCCCCCTCTCCACCAGATCTTGTTGTATCTACAACTGATCGAGTATTATTAACAGCTGGACGCATAGAGGTGATGAGGCATTGGGAATCGCATGAAGAACATTGATGAACGGACTGGAAATACAGGACAGAGTTCCTGTTGACCTTTTGCTCCGCTGTAAACCGTTGCTGTGTACTCGACCTATGGGCCCCAGTCAGGGGTCGGCAACCCTCGACCCTGCTTGCCTTCGCCAATGTGTTTCTCCATCGTTTCCTGGATTTCAGCTCTCCTTTTCTTCCCTGCGCGACGCAGTTACGTAACCCCACTCCCGAGTGTCAAGTCGATCGGGCGTCAGCCCGGCACGCAGGAACAAGGTGGGGCGCATCGTATACCCCAAGCGGCACCCAATCCACCAACAAGGGCCTCTCCCCAGCCCGCGGCAGCGACAAACTTCCTTCTCGCTCCAGAGACCGCCGACCGCAAACTGCCGAGGCAGCGCCGGGCTCCCCGGGCGCGTGACTCAAGATGCTGGCCACCGCGGGGACCTTCCTGGGCACGGCGGCCTCCTACTGCTGCTGCATGGCCTGCCGCTGCGCCCAGAAGAATATCTTCGCCAGGAGCGCCCGCGCGGGCTACTGCGTGCTTTTCACGCTGGCGATGGTCCTTGCGTGGGTGATGCGCAACTACGCCAAGCCCCTCATCGAGAAGATTCCCTGTGAGCTCCCCCCCCCCCCCCCCCCCCCCCCCCCCCCCCCCCCCCCCCCCCCCCCCCCCCGCCCGGGGAAGGGCATCTCGAAACGCGGCCTGCGCGTGCCGATCGGGGTTGGTGGGGCGGGCCGCGCTTCAGCTGCGAAACCGAAGCGGGCGCCGCCTGTCTTGTCTTGTGGCGAGAGCGGAGTGCGCTTGTGCTTTGGCACGGGGCGGCCCCTTTGGGAGCAGGGTGTGACCTGCCAACGCTGTATGGTAGCGGGGCGGAACGGAGAGGGCAAGGAACACTTTCGCTCGGATTGCCACTGCGATGGGATCTTGAGAAAAGCACGATGCCCGTTGTCGGTGTGTGGCATTGTGCGGAAGGTCTTCAGCCGTTGTAGTCTGGCAGCCAACCAGCAACTGCCGTGGAACGGCCGCTGGGCAGAACTTCTGTTGTGTGCACCCACGGCTTCACAGCGGTTGGTTGTGACAGCTTCTGCCGCAAAAGGTGACATTTTTCGTCCATTGGGTGGCCCGCCATACCCTGGAGCGAGCATTTATGTGTGGCTGTCGCAAGCCTGCAGAGCGGGCTGAAGGGAGTAGGGTGGCGAGTGGTTGAAAATTTGCGAGGATTCGCTGGCGCAAAATGGTGTTTATGACGGACTGCCAACTCGCGCGAGTGTGGGGTTACTGCCCCAGTATGCTGGTTATTGGTGGTGCAGGTGATGGGGACCTTGCCTGAACAAAGTGCAGGGGTATAGGCTTGAAGTTTCTGTTGAGTTGATTTGTGGAGTGATGGTCAGGGTTCACTGACAGGAAAGCTGCCTTGAAGAGGCAAGCTTGTCGGTGTTCATGTGCTGATGTATTTCTGCAACAAGCCTTTGACTCCGGCGTGCACTCACAGGGGTTATGAGCCACGCTGCTGCTGATGACAGCAAGTGGTTTGGCCAGCAAGGAGCTTACCGCATCAGTTTGGGCAGCTTTGTAAGTGCTAAGAGCGCTGGCATATCCTGTTGTCCTTCGATTTTGTGTCTTTAATGGTTATCCCAAGGATGCTTTGTGCCTTTTCTGAGGACATGGACTTTCTAGGTTGCTGTGGCTGGGAATTAGGAAGGTTGGCATGTTTGATACAATACACTGTGTGCAATCATTATTGTCATGTCTTGCTGGTTCCTGACACAGCTTGTGTTATCTCATTGGCAGACTCTGCAGGGCAAGTTTGTCTCACAAAGCTGTTGTGGTGCCATCCAGATCTTCTTTGCCCTGATGTCACTGATCATGACCAACATCAAATACAAGAGCGACTGGCGCAACAAGTATTTGCAGCATGGTGGCTGGGGCATCAAGTTCGCCCTGTGGTTGTTGTTCCTAATCATACCTTTCTTCATCCCAGGCGGCCTGCAGTGGTATGGTAAGTACACTGCAAAGTTCCTGTCTAGTTTTTTTGCATTCCAGAATCTTTCATTACACTCAGGAGTTCGGGTACCAACCCTGTCTCAGCGGAACAGATGTAGGCATGTTGCCATCCCACAAGCCAGCTCCAGGCATTGTGACACCCCAGGAAGTATTGCTCGCAGTAGCGTTTGACCTATGTTGGCCTCAACATGTAGTGTTTCTGGAGAAGAGCTACAGCTCTGCCTGTGCTCAGTGCTTGTTTGTGTGTGCTGCTTGGGCAAGAGGTAGAGGGCTGGTTGTTGCAGAAGAGAATGTCTTGGGCCAGTGTTTCTATTTTTGATTCCGAACGTTGGAAATGCTCAGCGGCTGCTGTTGCCTTGGTGGCACAACGTTCCATGTTCTTATGCCCATAATTTTCAGCACTCACCTAAACTTCCCAACCGTGTTCCTGTGCAAACAAGCCAGAAAACAGCAGAACAGCGCTGCCTTAAGGGGCAGTGCATCCTGCCTCAAGATGAAACAGAAGCTGCGGGTGATGCTGGTGCGCATGTGTGTTGAGCAGGCTGGGTGGCGCGCTTCGGGTCTGGCCTCTTCCTCATTGTGCAGATGATGATTCTGCTCGATGCCACGGGCCTCCTGAATGACCTCTGGTTCAGCAAGAGTGAAGAGAACCCGAAGTACATGTACCTTCTGCTTGGGGTCACTGCCGGTTGCTACATCGGCACCGTGGCCATGGCTGCAGTCGGCTTCTGGATCTTCAAACCAAGCGGTGGAGGATCCTGCACACTGAATATTCTGCTGATCGTTTGGAGCCTGCTCCTCACTGTTGGGTTCTCCCTCATGTCCGTTCATCCTGGAGCCACGAACGGCAGCCTCTTTCCTGCTAGTGTGATGAGTGCGTATTGCATGTACCTGTGTCTGGCGGCACTGGAGAGTGAGCCCCGGGGCGAGTGCAATGGCCTTGAAAACAAGGCCGAATCGGCGAGTGCCATGTTCTTTGCCATGATGCTTACACTGGGCGCAGTCATCTATTCTGCCTTCCGTGCTGGATCCAACACCTCCACATTCTTCACAACATCGGAAGGTGAGTTGCGAGTGATGCCAGTGCCTGTTTGGAAGAGCTTGTTGGCTGAGGGTGCTGTACACACGAGGTCAATGCATGCCTTGGTTAATTGACGGATCTGTGTTGTTGCATTTTGATCCACAGAGCGGATGTCTGTTGCTAGCTGTCTGCAGTAGGCATCTGTGAATGAGCTGGACGATGGGAGCCATGAACGCAGTTTGCAGGGTTGATACACATATCAGGGCTCACAGATACTGCCCAGAGAGCTTGCTTGGTGTCAGGACCATCCAGAGTTGATTCTCCCAACTAATTGACCATCATTTATTCCATCATTGTACAATTGAGGTGAACAACCCCTCAAAGAGGTTGTACGCATAACCAAGAATGTGGCTGTATACACGACCCTTTTGGAATCCCGCTTTTGAATTTGTCCCATTGACAGCCGCTGCTCTCTTACCCACAAGGCAGTGATGTGCTCATCTGACAGCCACGTGGTTTGTGCATTGTTTATCAACGAATCTCGTGCCCTGGCTTGTGTGCGCCAACCTCGCTGAGCAATGGTGAAGTTGTTGATCTAACAGATGGCGACGAGCCAACAGAAAAGCCCCTCCTTGAAGGAGCTGAAGCTGGCACGTCCGCTGGGCTTGATGGTGAGGACGCCAAGGCCCCTGAAATCCAGAAGGCTTCTCGTGACGACAAAGAAGGCAGGGCCATGGACGAATTCACGCCTGTCACCTACAGCTACAGCTTCTTTCATGCCGTCTTTGCTCTGGCCAGCATGTACATGGCCATGCTCATGACTTCGTGGGGAACTGGGGATGGCAGCGCCCTCATCGATGTGAGCTGGGCATCTGTGTGGGTGAAGATGGGCTCACAGGTGGTGACGGCTTTGCTGTATTGCTGGACGCTGGTGGCCCCGATTGTGTTCCCTGACAGGGACTTCTCTTAGGTGCGCGATGGGTGGCGAGGAGCTTATGAGAATGGACGCGAGCTGCTCCTGCGAAGTCCGCACATGGTTCAACCTGCTACTAGGGAGCACCGACTCTGTGTTTGGGTGGCTATGGATACTGTCAGTGATGGAAACATGAACTTGGGACTTGGCAGGTTGGCGAAGCGAAATCTGCAAAAGCCATAATTTTGGTCGCTGAGGCTACAGGCGTTGTACCATCACTGTATTGTGGGGACCCTTGAGATCTGTACAATTGATGAGACGCTTTCTTTAATTTCCCATGCGGCCACTGCTCTGGATATTGACTAATCCTTCAAGACGGGGAATTTCTGGGTCAGTACCATTGTGGACATCGAGTTTAGTGTGAACAGCATTTCGACTGCATAAGTTCAGTGAGCAGTTGTGAGAATGCCCAGCAGCATGGCCTTGAGCCTCTTTCCCTCCCTAATTGTGAGAGTCGCCATCGGGTTCGTCTGTTGCATGTGAAAGGCCCTGTCTGTGGCTTGGCGTGTGGAACTGGGCCTAAAGAGCGAGGTCATTGCCGGCGAGGTTCAGGGCAGAAATGTAATGGTGGCAATGGATCTGAACTTGCTTGAGGTGCGGGGACGGCCCGAATGCAGGTGGCAGATGTCCCACGATGTCCTTTCAGGGGCGTATCGGAATTGAACAGTTTGAACTGTCAAGACATATACGCCCTACTGTAGTAAGTTCCACTCGTCCAAACGTGGCTGGAGAATCGCTCACCAGGATGGCATTGCTCTCGCTAGCTTCACACATGCCTAGTCTAGCAGGAGTCTACAATAGAGAACTTCCTGCTTGATCGCAACGCGAGAGCGATTTACATCGATGTGCACATTTGAGCCACAATCGAAATCAGAAGTTTAGATCAGTAAAAAACTTGATGCTGTCCCCCAGGGCGTCAATGAACATGTCCACCTCGTGGCGCGTGTTGTATATGTACAGGCTGGCTCTTGCCGAGGCCGGGACGTCCAAGTACTGGTGAAGGGGCTGAGTGCAGTGGTGGCCGGAACGCACTGCCACGCCTGCGGCAAGCCGCCCGCACCAACCGTCAGCACAAGAGCAGGGAGCATGAATTTCACACGCAGGTTGTTCGGATGACGGCAATCCCCTCATAACGGTCCATCAACCAGGTTCACGGTGTCATAACGTTTTGGGCGAACGCATGCAACCATGACAGTGTGAGCCAACATAGCGCCGCCATACGAACAATGGCTAGCAATCAAAACGCACAACGCACATCTGGTAACGTCAGCGACAGGCTGGTCGTGGGTCATTTGGCAGTGGCAACCAGTGGATGACTACGGAGCAAGCTGCCTTCTTTCAGCCATGGCGACGCACGCCTGGACTAAATCTCCATCCGCCTTCAGGCCTCCTACCTTGCTGATCCAGCAGAGCCGCCACGTCTGAAGCATGAAGCCCCTCCACGTTGAAGGCACACAGGCTGGCGCGGGACCTCGGCACCGATGGCGGTGGGCCGTAGATCCGAACCTTGTCCACGGATTTTAACCGATCATACAGATAGGCCCCCAAATCCTGTTCGTAAGCGTGCACCCTGTGCATGCCCAGGCCAGACAAGTAGTCGCACGCTGCCCCAAGGCCGATGGCCTCGGCAATAGCCGGCGTGCCAGCCTCGAATCGAGCAGGAGGCGGGGCATATGTCGAGTGGCTAATGAACACGTCCTCAATCATTTCCCCTCCGCCCATGAAAGGTGTCATCTCTTCCAACACGTCGTAACGGCCTGCAACGACGGTCAGAACAGCCGTCATTGTCTGGTGCCACTGTGAGACAGCACAAACTCAGTCACCGGAGTCTTCTGCGAATGTTTGCTCAACATTTGGGCGTGGCTCATGTGCAGTGATGCTTCGTCCTCACAGCTGCATGTCAGCTACTCTGGAAGCTGTGCCCACATTGACAAAGAACGGGATGCGGAATCTATTAGAATCAGATCTAAATTAGATGGCACACAACGCGACGCGGTTCAGATCCCGGTTTGCGCTCAAGCTGCAAAAAGATGGTAGGAATTTCCTTTGCCACCAGGTTTGGCACATGCGATTGAATAGACAAGAGATAAGGAGTGCACCCAAATGGAGAATGTGCTGCCGTGAATGCGCCGTCATGCTGTTTTGTGCCAATGTATGCTGGAGTTGGTGGAGCACATGGTGGAGGTGACAACGGGATGCAGTCATGCTCTTGGCATGGCGACCAGCCATGACGTCGGTTGCTCATCGCTGTACATGGTCCATGACGCTGCACATATGGGGGCGATTGGTGTGGACATCCAGTGCTTACTACGCCATAGTTCCAGTCGAGCAAAAAATTCTCAGCACAAAGGAACCTAGCTGATGCCTGTTCGACAAACCAACCATTGCAGATGGAGGGATCGGTCTTTTGTTTATTGCACTCACCCCACAAGAAACCACAGCCTGTAGGTCCACACATCTTATGCCCAGATGCCACGATCCAGTCAGCTCCAAGGTCCTGGACATCGACTGGCCTGTTTGGCACCGACTGGCAGCAATCCAGCAGCACTCTAGCCCCAACCTTGTGGGCCATCTCCGCAATATCCTCAACTGGGCTCACTGCCCCAAGAGTGTTGGACACGTGGAAGAGGGATACAAGCTTCGTGTGGTCGCTCAGCAGCTCCCTGAAATGCTGCAGAACGGAGTGAGTCACATTGGCACAAAAGGCTTTTGTGGCCGGGTAAACGAGAGTGTGGTCATGCAGATTCTCCTGAGCACATGCATTGCTGCATACTTCACTGCTGCAAACAAGGACTCAAACATGGACCTGCACAGTACAAAAATAGTCTCACAAAATTCTTACTCAGGATGAAGTCATACTGTGTATGCCATGCTATCCACGGCTGGAACGAATCACTGTCCACGTAAACAAGGCATGAGCTCAATAAACGGCAAAGGCATGTTGAAAGGCAATGCCCGGAATTCAACCAGCTTTGTACAGAATTTGTTGATGGCAACAAGGTTACAATCTGAAATGACGGAACATCAAGAATTGATTGCGTATGCATCGATAGTAGATTCTCTCTGGGGAATGAAGAGACCCAAAACAGAAGTTGAAAACTGCACCAAAAGTTGGGTCACTAACGTTGATGTGGACATTCACTCTTCCTGTTGTCTCATGCCATTCAGAAAACAACAAATCATTCCATGAAAGAAACAAATGCATGCAAAACTTATATTATAGCTGGCAAACACAGATTTGACTTTGTGAAAACAACTTGTGGTGGCGGCACCAGCAAAACCGAATTTCAGCACCTTCTGTCCATTTATCATCGGCGTCGATGACTGTGAGTGTCCTTTACCTGCATATCCAGTTCTTCGGTGTCTTTGGTGAGGGTGACAGCACGAAGGCGTGCCCCTGTCTTCTTTGCCACTATTTGCCATGGAACGATGTTGCTGTGGTGCTCAGCTGTTGATATTATGATCTGTGGACAAGGTGACAACATGCCACTCTTCAACATCGACAGAGGGTACCATTCCAGCAGAGCAATTCAACGGATTGTGCAATTGTGATGCTGCGGGTCATCTCTGATCACAAGCAAAACTGCCTACACAAGCAGGCACTGGCAAAACCATAAGACCCTTCTTGCAACTGGCTGTTTGCTGCTAGTATCAAGCAGTTCCCCACCACAGGAGCTGTGTACGAATGGGACAGCATCATTCTGATACAGTTGTTCATGTCCAGTGGCAACACTGCCCAAAAGGCACTGACATGAGTTGATTCTCACTCCAACCCAACAAATGACCACCTTGAGAAACTGGTTGTCCAACACTGGTAAAACCATGCAGGAAGATGACTTTGAAAGACCAGAAAATCAAGCTTGCGTGAACTATGGTAAATGATGTGCTCATGTTGTAGGATCCAAGCCCAGTTCGAAGCACCACTGCTGTGATCCAGTCCCACGGCACTAGAATCCAAACATCGCCTCATAGGACTTAGGTCTGTCACACTATCAGGCCCTTCGACCAAAGCAACATCCCAACCTTACCACTAGACCAAAGCCCTGCTTCCCCCACCAAACCCCAGGCCATCTCCCAGCACAATCCCAAGTATGCAGAGCCCACATCATGCTACCCCTGGTGCGTGAGGATTGGGCAGGGGCTGGGAGGGGGCAGCCCCTATGCGCTTGCCAATATGCACTGTTTGCCTTCAGTGGCTGAGAAAAAGTGAGACAAACACTCTGGACATATCGCGGATGGGACATGACTTGTAATGTCGAAACCATTGTATGAAAGGGCTTCCAATTTAATGGAAAACTCTCCATGCGCTTACCTCGTCGCCCTCCCGCAAATTGCTCATGCCCCAGCTGTAGGCCACCAGGTTCATCGCCTCGCTGGCGTTCCGCGTGAATACCACCTCCCGAGACTCGCCCGCCCCCACGAAGGCCGCCACTTGGTCCCGCGCCGCCTCGTACATCGCGGTGGCCCGCGCACTGAGCGCGTGCACCCCACGGTGCACGTTTGAGTTGGTGGTCCTGTAGTAGCCCTCCATCGCCTCCAGCACCGCCAGCGGCTTCTGCGATGTCGCGGCGTTGTCGAAGTACACCAGCGGCCTCCCGTTCACGCGCTGGTCCAGCACCGGGAAGTCCGATCGGATGCCGGTTCCCAGCTCCGCGGCAGCGGGCGCGTCGACCTGCGCCACGGAATACGCTTCTCCGGTCGGGGGCAGCGATCGGCATGAACGATGATTCAAGGCTCAATGCAGGGCCTTGAATGAACACGATCTCTCTCCTTGGCGCAGACACGAGCTCTTAAACACGAGCTCGTAAGCACGAGCTCGCAAAAACGAGCTCTGTTCTCGTCGAGATGCTCAATCCTTAAGCGCTGCCCTCCTTTGCGAGAAATCTGCAATGGACGGTTGGGTAGGCATCGCCGCGAAGAGAAAGGGCGCGAGGGTTTCCGCCGTACCGCTTGGGCGCGAAGGCGGAGCCGTCCCGCCGATCGGCTCGCGAGCGCCGCGCGGGCGGCGAGCTCCAGGCCACTGCGCGGCAGGCCGCTGGAGCCCATGCCCGGCGCGATCTGTGCGCAAGTCATTGCGCACAGGGGTGCCTTTCTCGGTATCCGGCACCCGGGGATCCCGCAGCGCGTCGCTGTTCCGAACGCGGAGCCCGGTTGCGCGTTTGCGAGGCAAGTGCCCTCCAGCCGCAGAAGCCGACAGCGGCGAGACTGAACAGCAGCTTGGGCCCCTGGCGCATCTTGGTTGATGAGGCATCATCAATGGTCGGGGATGTGTGTGCCTGTAACGCCTTGACCAAATTCGTGCCCTACGAGACCCGCGTCGGAGAGCGCGCACAGCAAACGACTGGCGCGGTGGCCGGCGCTGGAATGGGCTCCCTTCGCGGGGCGCCTGCGCTGTGTCATGGGCGCCGGGCGGCTGCCGATCTCCGCAGAGCCGGTTGGGTACAGGCCGGCAACGCACTTGGTAAGGCAACCGGGCCATTGCGGCGCGGGTTGCCGCGAAGATGGTTGATGGGAACCCTGCCGCCCGCCTCGTCTGGTGGCCCCCATGTATAGACAGCGGAATGCCGGTGTGCCGAGGTCTCGAATGCATGGAGGGCCGCCCCACGGCGAATAGGGCTTGCCCATGCATTCGCTCAACTCGTGCCGTTTTGGTGGTCGAGATTGGGTGTCGGGGCACGCCCCTTCTTGTCCTAGCGGCCGTTTTCGCGACGGGAGGTGCAAAGAGAAGGCTGCAAAGGAACGGAACTTGGTGCTGTCGACTGGATGCCATCGCTTGCTCATGACTCATTCAGATGTAGTGAATGGTCGTGTACCAAATGGTTCCATGTGCTGTTAGTCTCCACATAGCCAGTCACATAGCCAGTCCACATCGCCTTCGCGAACGCACGATCTGGTGCTATCTTTCTGGATGAGAAAGTACCCAGATGGCTGCCCACGAGATGGTAGTCAAAGGCATTTCTCCTGGTTGCAGGAAAATCAGTGCCTGATGCCAGAATATCACTGGAAAGGCAATTCAAGCGAATTGCGAAAGATTGGCACAGGAGAAATAAAGGAATGGTGCTGGCTCTCTGGCCTCTTTCGCTGTGGAATACAATTCAAGAAGTGTTCTCCATCATTCTCAGTTCTTGCAGGCATTTAGAAGCAACGTGGCGATTTCTTGCCATGGAGTGCTCTTGTTGGCAACTTGCGCACGGTTATTCAGCTGATGGGCATGAAGTCCGTCAGCATCAGTTATGTGGCGAATGTGTTCACCCTGGGCATTGGGAGAAGGGAGAAGAGAAAAGGGGAAAAGGCAAACGGACAGAGCTGGCCTATTGGTGAATTCGTATTGACTTCCGGCCACATTGACAATCATTTGCCTGTCGATTGTGGTGCACCTCAGCAAGGCATGCTATTGAACATAGTTCATGTTTCGTCCAGTGCATAAACATTAGGGTACAGCAGGTTCCACATGCAGCTGGTTGCAAACACGGAAATGCGACAGAAAATATAGGAGGCAAAATATGGGGGGTGGGGTGGGGTGGGGGTGGGGGGGGTACTATCAGCGTGAATAAACAATCGACACATATCTATTGCGTGTATTGGATGCAGGAATCACAAGCAGAGGAACTGTCTGGCGTTGAGCAGAAGATGTCCTGCCACCTGAGGTTTCCATCTGATTTGCACCCTGTCAAGCGCAGGGACGTCACTACCCCCTCCTCCCCGACAGATTCTGGCAGGGTACGAAGTCCGCTCCTCTCCGCATACCGCCCACATGCGAACTCTCGCCAAAGAGTTGTCGTACAGCCTGTCCCTTCGCATGACAATTCCACTCAATGTCGTCCTCACGACGCGGCAGATGAGACGCGGACGGGCACTTCACATGAACCCGGCATGGAAGAAAAGAAACTAGCCCAAGAAAAGACGATTCAAGATCTTCATGACACGGTCGTGCAGCTGAGCCGCCTCTGGGAATCATCGAAGGCGGAAGAATTGTCAAAATTGAAGTCTGAGATTGACAGTCAGGCGAGCACCCTTCACCGAGTGCAAGGCGACGTGGCAAGAATGGCAACATCTGGAACACTGCCGCTGGATCACGTGTGGTCGTCTCTCAGGGCGATGCACACCGACGTTGCCAAGCACAGTGGCGCCATTCCCCAAATCGAATCCTCCCTTCATCGCCTGGACTCCAGGCTGAAGGGATTGGAATCAAAGGCGCCCGCCTCGGCGCCTCATGGTGACGAGCTCCGACGCGCGGTTGAAGAGCACGAGGTCCTGATTTCCGAACTGAGGGCGTCCGCGCGCGTATGTCGCGATGCAGAGGCTCGGAAAGCCGTGCAGCAAATCCAGGACTGCATGGCCGACCACCAATCCACCATTTCGAGGCTGCAGAAGGCAATCTCCGACTGCGGAGAGAGGCAAGTCGAAGGTCGCAAATCGGGAGATCGAGAAATTGAGGACCTGCGACGAGTGCTGAACTCACATGAGAGTGCGCTCAAAGAGTTTCGCTCGTTCGACGGCGACTGGACACCTCGGCGGCACAGACAGGGGGTGGAGGACCTGCAAAGAAGGGCCAATGAACTGGGGGATGCTGTTGCAGATATTCGAAGGTCCTTGCAGGCCGCTGGAGGAATGGGCTGCAGCCAAAGATGGCAAGACCTGGAGGAGTCGCTGGCGAAACAACAGGACAGGATATCTAAACTCCATTCTCTCGGCATCGATGCTTCCCTGCGCCAACAGCAGGATGTAGAGAGGCTAAGCGTGCTGGTGAAGCAGCATCAGTCTGCCATTGCGGAGCTCAAGTCCCAGGATGGAACTAACCGTGCCCAGCAGCACGTTCATGCATTGGACCAGACTCAGAGCCGCTTGCAGCGCCTCGAGGCTGATCTTTCCGAAATAAAGTCGACGGCCGTCGAGGCCGCAGAAGAGGAGCGCCACAAATTCGGTGAAATGGACATGACACTGCTCGGCCACAAGACTGCCATTTCCAAACTTCAGTCTGCTGTCAAGAAACTCACGCCGATGGACCACCAAAGGGTACAGGAACTTGCGAGTGACCTTGACGATCAAAAGGAACGCATGCTGAAAATGGAAGCAGCCATTCTGGACTTGCAGCTCAACCAACGTCCAGCTCAGGAATTTCATGACTTGAAAGCGGAGATGGCCGAAAAAGAAGTTGAGGTAAAGGCGCTCCGAGCCGACCTGACGGATCAAAGAGCTCTCACGACGCTGTTGGAAACTTCCATTCGGGAGTTGGCTTCAAACCAACGTCACCAGGAAGTCGCCGACCTAAGAATGTCCATGAATCAAAAGTGCGGTGAGATAGAGGCGCTCAGATCTGATCTGATGCATCAGAAAAACCTCATAGCTCAGTTAGGAGCATCTCTTCGGGAAGCAGCGTTAAACAAACCTTCCATGGTTGAAGTGGAGGAGCTCAAAGGGGCTGTGGGCGAAAAGGCCCTTGAGGTGGATGTGCTGAAAAACGGGATCGAGTCCCAGCAAAAGAGCATCAAGCAGCTAGAGAGTGCATTGTCGCTGCTGAATGCTACAGTGAATTCTGTTCTCGAACAGCAAGAAAAAACGGACATCAGAATGAAAGACTGCCAGAAAACACAAAACGGGCAATTGAAATCCATCGAAGAGCAGGTGGAAGGCGTCCTTGTGGGGCTAGACGCATTCGATAGAAAAATTAACCACCTGCAGGCCGAAAAGAAAGTATCCCAGGCAAGAGGCGGAGCCCTCGAACAAGGAGTTGTGGATCTGCGGGCTGAAGTGACCATAATCCAAGAAGCGCAAGCGACACTACCCAGACTTGAAGAGCGAATGCGGCAATTCGCGTCCAGCCTGGACAGCCACAAACTCGCCATCCAGGGCATCGAAGAAAACTCGCATGAAATGGCCAAGAACCTGCGATCAGCTCTGTCCCAGAAAGAGGCAGGCTCCAATGCGAACGAGGTGGGCCAAGACATGATAAGACAGCTACAGGGCGCTTTCTTGGAGTCAATACGGGCACTGGAAACGAAAATGGAAGCGCGAGACTGGGACCTGATAGCCTTCGAGGAAAAAATATCGTCGATGGTCGATCGTCAGCCAAGTGCAAATTGCGAAACGGCATCAACCATAGCGAGTCAAGGCAACATGATAAAGGAAGCACATGCAAACATTCACCAAGTTCGAGCAGAACTGATAGAGGTGGAGAAGAGGTTGCAGCAGAGCTATGATTTAGGTCGCGCCGCATCCATGGCCTCCCAGGGATACTCTCAGGAGCATTCAGAACGGCTTTTGCAAATGCTGAACCAAATGGGGCAATCCCACAGCGAAGGTATTGGAGACTGCAGGCAGCGGCTGGACACTGTAGAACAGTCAATTGCTACGCTCGAGGACGCCGCTGTCGAAATGAAAACGTCAATGGGCGACTTTGCCTCTGGTTTGATGGTGGTCCATGAGAGCATGGACACCTGCATGGAGCAGATGCAGGAACTGGTGGAGTCAAGGTCCCGCGAACAGGAGGCAGTTGGCGTCAGGGAGTCTGAGTTGACTGCTCGCATTTGGGAGCTGCGAGGACAACTGAAGAAAACGCAGCGTGTCTTGTCCGTGGCTCAGCGTGACAAGATGGCCTCTGGACATGTTCAAGCGCAGAATACGGCTGTTGGTCCCCGGTCTGAACAGACGGTGCAGACAGGGGCCGAAACAAAGCAAAGTGGCCAGAAGCCCAGCCCCATGAGCTCCATGGATTTGAGTCGATGGTCCTCCCTTGATTCCCTCGAAGTGGCTGATGCGCGGGGGGCAGCAAGGGCGGCAGTGGGCCGCACGCAACCGGAGCTGCGTGTCCCCAGTGTCAGCGACAAGCAGCGTCCTCCTGGAGGCACGGTGCAGCGTGCTCTTGCCAAGTATGAGAGACTCGGGTCTCGCAGCGGAAGGTCTTCCACCGTTACCGGCAGGAACCTCAGTGTTGGAGACCTGGGAAGCACTCTGGACGAATTTGTCCGCGCTCCCAGAGGCAACTCAGGCATTTCGCCGGTTGCTTCCTCCGACAGTTCCGTGCTACATGAGGCCTTGAAGGTTGCGGAGAGGCTCTCCAGTCAGTGCACACCCAAAAGCCTGAAAAGCCACCCGGCGCTGCGCTCGGCGTCCACTGGTGGCAGCGCAATGGACGGTGGTCTGAATGGCGCTCAAATGCCTCGTGCGCAGTCACAGTCATTAGGTGAGATGCCACTGCTCGAGAACTTCCCAAGGTCGCGGCTGGCACTGCGCGAGTTGGTCAGGTTTCCATGCTTGCGAGTTTTGCTCCAGCACAGTTTTGAGGAATTGAACATGAGTCAGTTCTTGTTTTGGGTCTTGTTACAAGACCCAGAATAAGTATCGAAAACGCGGGCGGAGGCTAATGTCGCACAGGTGCACTGTTCTCCAACAAGCGGATTTGTGTTTATCCACCACCAGGAGAAGCAATGCGGCTTTCACAACTATGCTTGCAATTGCACATAATCGTATGCAATATTGGTCCCTTGAAATGGCGGAAGATTTCCACACTTTTCCTCAGGCTTGTGGAATAGCACCTTGTTCGCGCCTTCCTGCTCCTCCTGTTGGTTGCAAGCATGGACACGGTGCATGTCCAATACATTAAGCATGAAGCCCAGTACTGAGCTGCACTAGAAGCTGAGGTGCGTGCCTCTGCCCAATTGAAATTTGCAGGTACGGCGTGAGTTATGTCACGGCGGCGTCCTCTTGATTGATGTTGCACTGGTGTTCACTGACAGTAAAATTCTACAGAGTGGTGAATCCTTGGTTCCGTGTGTCTGCATAGGGCACAGCAGCACTGTCGGCAAGCCCGAGATGGCTTTCATCAATCCAATGTTCCATGGGACGGAGGCAGGGCAACATGGCTTCGCTCCTAAAGTAAAACTCAAACGCATGGATGAGGACATGGGGCCAGAACAGCAGCAGGCGCCCAAAGATCAGAGCAACCTTGGCCCTATGTCATCAAATCCTGTCTTCGCTGGCAGCAACGAAGATCGGGCGTCTGCGTCAGTTGAATCCGATTTCAGTTGGTGATTGTCGGCGTGGTGTAGAGCTACAAGAGTGGCGTGAAGGAGAAGTAGAAAAGAGAGCTGATGGTCTACCAGAAGGGTTGACTCAGGAGAATCGGAGATACGGTCACGAACTGAAGGATATGTCGCGGGAGGTTTTTGATTGTATAGAACATGCGGCCCGTGTAGCATATGTTTGGGCTCGTTTTGCTGCGCATCAAGAAAGCATACCAAACATTGGATTGTTCATGATCGGTGGAACTGCACTCGAAACGTTGCCGAAGAACAACATCATTCCCTGCTTCCGGGTGACTCACACATCGAAGGTCCTGGTCGTTCAGGATGCCCTCAAGGACCTCCCAATATTGGGTCAAGCATTACTGCTTGACGTCAGTCAGGTGTGAAGCTTTGTGCACTGAGGGGGGCTCAAGGCAGGGAACAAGTCTCCACATTCAGCATGGGAAACCCGTTTCTTGGTGAAGTCGCAAGCCTGGTGCAGCCGCCAACGTTGGCTGGCTGCCAACAATGCGGCTGTCCCAGGTAAGCATCCCGTGTCGTCCGGGGGCACCCAGCTGCAGCCAGGGTGCCCAGATGAGCACGGCCCACTTATATCTTTGGGGGGCTCCTACAGTGCTGCATTCAGAGCGTGGCTGAATACCACCACAAAACATAGGAGGTGGCGCTGGCCGAGTGGCTCCCATCATAGCACTGTTTGTGTCGCGCATCGAAGGCTGTCTCTGGGTCAAAGATTATTACGAGGTGGCAAAGTGGCACAGGCACTAGTCGACAAACGGTTCCTTTTGCTCAGATTGTTTGTCACGAACAAACCGGGGCTTGATCGCGTCCCTCGTGTGCAACAGCGCCAGAAACCTGGGAAAGACACCACGAGGCGAAGGAGGTTCTCATCTGCGCTGTCAGCAGCTCCGACCTGGGTGGGCATGGCATTTTGATCTGCGAGCCTGAGTGCATCAACGCGACCTGGACGCAGGAATTTGGTTGACAAACGGAAGAGGCACTCACATGGCATTTTCTGGCCCATGACACTGGAAGGACATTGTGCTTCAACGCTGGTGTCACTGGCCAGAGTGTGAACAAAGGTCAACTCTCGATAAAGACAATCCATAGCGGCATGCATGGCATGTCACAGCCAATCGATGGAGATCTCGTCGAGCAATCCATTCGAAGAAACACACTGACTACATCACTTGTGCCTGGTGCTCCTTGTCAGGGTCACAGGTGCCTGAAGTAAGCCCCATCCACCCTTGACAGAGACACACACATTTCCCGCACAGCACCTCGAATCTTCCACCCAACAAACCCCCAATCCAAAATCCACCCACCCTACCCCCCAATGCCCCCAAACCCAACCCCCCCTTTCACCTCATTATGCAGGGCATCCTCAACAGCCCCTTCCCTGGTGCATAGTGTACAATCCATGCCTGCGAAGTATCTGAACGGAATCAACGAAACAAAAATTATGTCATGAAATGTGGTGCTCGCCTGGTGTTTGAACCAAACTGATTAGCTGTTGTGTCAGTTTCAAACATCCATTTCGTCAAACTCATCCCAGCGGCGCACCTTTCCAAGATCTTGACATGGTTGTGGCCATTTCTCTCCTCCCTGTGCTGAAGGTCTGTTGGGGTTGATGGAATGTCCAGCACCATTTACTTAGCGCTGACAGCTTCATTTGCCTTGTCCACCGTGGGGTCCTCCTTTTTGTCCCCGGTTTTCTTCTCTGGCCGCTTGATGTGCAGCAGCGACTCAATCAAGTCTCTGCAAATCGGACATCGGGACACCTGCTGCCGCTGCAACTCCCTGGCACATGCCTCACACATGCACATGTGCCGGCATGGCAGAACAGTTGTGTCACGGACAGCAGCAAGGCAGATTACACACTCCTTGCCTTCCAGGTCCTCAGAGTAGCCCGCAGTGCCCAATGCCATGGCCTTCTCCTTCTTGTCCCCCCCATAAATGTCTTGGATCCCATAGATCTCCTGCAGCTCATAGGACACATTCTCGACCCATATTTTCTGACGTATGGGCCGTGCCTCCCAGGTGCCGTCCTCCTCTTTCACAAGGCAGGCATAGGTCGTTTGGGACTGGACCCATGTGGGGGTTGCGCAGCCAGGCTCCAACTCAGCCAGGTTGTGACCATCCTGAGCACCCTTGTCCGTGACCGTCTCCAGACGAATGACGATGGGGAAGGCGTCAGTCTTGCTGAGGGACATGTTCGTGAGGTCACGAATGTTGTACAGGCTAATGTCCAATGAATGCGTCTTGGCACACTCGTCGTCATCTGGGGGTGGGAAGACGTGTCCCAACTGCACGCAAGGAGAGACACAACATTTCATTGACACGTGCAATCTCAGCCACCCAGCAACTGCCCTTATGCACAGTTTCCAAGCATATGAGATTGACAGGAGACCAACGGATGCCAATGGGCGTATCATCACCACGATGAGCACAAGAGGCATCACCCCAACAGTCAATCGTTCACTGTGAGATTTGGCTGTGGCACATTTTGAGTTCACAAGCTCTACAAGGTGATCCCACACAGAGTTGCATGCTTTTGTCTTTGGCTCTCAACTTACCCCCTTCTCATACGTAACACGCGCGCCAGCGTCTTGTTTCTGGGTTGTTAACTTGCATGCCTTGTCTGACTCCTCTTTGGCCATAAAGAAGACGGTAACACTGAGCAGCACCACAACCTTGTCACAATCTCATCTGCGGACAGCCCTGTTGAGAAAACTTTTCTCCTCAACAACCAACTGCGTTCTCACCACACTCAGAACTCCTTCACGCCACGTCTGTCGCTCCTCAGAAGGGCTGACCCCAACAAGTGCAACGCAATCCACGCACCGTACGTCATTGGTCGCATCCTACACCCCACACTCTTGCAAGTTGGAAACAAACGCTGCTGATAAGAAGGCGACCGGCATGCGTCCTGGCATCCCCTTTCTAGTAAAGCGATCTGGGCATTTATCGTGTCGATGAGGGCGAAAACAGTGCACCGACCACGCCACAACTTGGCCAAACACCAGCAAAGGTGCACATGCCGCACACAGTTCTTTTCCAGAGCTACCACGGCACGGCACGCGCACGACCGTCCCCCGCACCCATCGGTTCCGCGAGCAAACACACCTGCAAGGCGCCGACGCGTCAAATTTAAACGTGGGCGTGACGAGGTCCCCTTCTCCTGGACGCGGAACCAGCCTCAGCGTGGGCTTCTTCAGGTTCACCTGATTCCTTATTGTCTTGGTCTGCTGCAGCTGCGTCGGCTGCTGCGCGGCCGCCCCGGCCGGCCTGTGGCCCGCGCCCTGCCGATAGCCCTGAGATCCGGCCGGGAAGCGCCGGAGCAAATCCACATCAGGCCTGGCATTACAGCGACCACGACAAGGTGCCCGCAACACAGGAGCCGCGCTGCAGAGGCTGCCGCCCCCTGGTGTTGGGGCCATCAGCAGGCATCCGGCTGCGGTGAATCGGGCAACACATCGCACTCGCTTCAAAGGTCGCTCGTGGGGTGAAATCACAGGCTGGCGCGGTCCCCTTACCGGGTATTGCTCCGGATACTGCGTGGGGATGTTGCCATAGAACCGGCCGTGGTCCGTGGGCCGCGGACCGTAGCCCGAGTACTGCACCACAGCGGACGGGGTCCCGGGGTGAGACCGCGACGAGCCCGACTTCCCCTCCCGAGTTGGGGGCCCCGCACACATCGGTCACACGGCCCACCTCCACGCGCATCGCCGCGGCGGCGCCAAGGCGCTGGGGCCGGGATCCCCACCTGCTGGCCCTGAGGCTGGCTGTTCTGCGCCGCGGGGGGCGGCTGGGCATGGTGCCCGTGGTGCCCGTGGTGCCGTCTGCTCAGGCTGTTCCCCATCCAATCGCCGGGGACCCACTAGCGGGCGGGCAGCGTCTGAAAAACAAGTCGCCGAGATTCGAGGGCTAGGCTGGCGGCGGCGGGGGGCGCGGGGCCGTGGGGGTGGTGGTCTGTGTGCGTCTGTTTGGCGCGCGCGGCCTCCTGCGCGGGCGTGTTTGGACGGGGCTGCGGGCCGCGTGGATAACAGATCAATGCCCCGGGCTGGCTTCGTGGGCGGGCAGGGAATGAGGGGACCCTACGTATGGCTTGGGGCCCGGTGGGCGCTGGCTGGGGGGTGAAGGGGACGAAATGGGAAGTGGGAGGGAGGTTGAAACGGCAGAGGGGGGGAAAGTCCCTCGCGTTGTGACATCCTTCGCCCTTCCCTGTTTTGGGCCCTTGATTTGATGGTTCGTTTGGGCATCGAAGTCACGCGACGGGTGGCAAACAGGTCATTCAATGGGCAAAACCCCCCTCCCAAGCGGGTGGAAAGGGGAAGAAGTCAGTTGCGAGAAAAGCAAGTTTCAGAAAGAGAACTTGAACAAAAAAGAAGGACACTTGGAGAGAAGGGGAGAAGGCGTTGTTGTTCACTGCTTTTGTCTTGTCTGAAATAAGAAACTGAAAAAAAGAGATCAGCGTCCTTTTTCTTAACAAGATCAGTGTGACGGGACAAGAGCGCTATGCAAACTCAAAGTGAAATGGGCTAGAAAATGAACAAAGTGAAGCGAGGACTTTGAAAGCGACCACAACAACAAGAGGAGAAAGCGATGACAGGGCACTAAGGGGCATACATCAAGTAATCGAAAAATCAAATCAGCAACTGAGTTGCTGTTTGTAATGGGGATAGCACACATGGCCACTTAAAGACAAACCAACAGCCAGGGGTGTGAGGTGGGTGGTGGACGGGTTACAGCTGAGAGGCCATAGTTCATCGATGCAGGCAGGGGTACGTGTGCAGCTTGCACAGTTGTATGCTTCAGCCATCAATCTGGACATTGACCGAGTTGGGGGAGGGGAGTGGTCTGGTTTGGTATGATTATGCATATACAGGGACTCACTCAGCGAGTTAATGCCAGAAGATGTGAAAGCCACTTCGAACAACCACATCAATCCCTGTCGTTATTAAACGTATCTACCATGCACAGCTATGTACCAATATCATCTTCCATGTGGAATCGACTGATGGTGGGTATCCCCCTTTTTATGAATGCCATGACATGCTGCTGCCATGCTGCACTTGCAGCTAGAGATCCTGTCAGGATGCCACAGCCTGAGGACCTCCTCTTGAAGGTCAAGCTCAGTTGGTCATGGGCTCCAAGCTGATCCACTGTTGATTCTAAACTCCCCGAACCTGGCCACAGTGCATCACACTTAGCTAGTACACTGGTCTGACCAATAATGAGCAGAGGGGAAGCAGACCACTGGGAGAGAGAGAGGTGGCTGTTATTGCAGACACTGCTGCTTGTCCACAATAGATTGTTGGGGTTGGATTCGCGTGCAGTTGAACAGGGTGGTGGGCAAGGAACAATCTGATTCACACAAAGAAACCAGAGTGCAAATGTGCTTGCTATCCAAAACTCTGCTTGGAGGGGTTTGCCAGAAAGTCAGTTACTGCAATACAAAGCAACACAGTTTTTAGGGCTGCATACCAACCATGGGAAGCCTGGCCAACAAGCAATAAGCAGGGCACCAGATCGGACGTCCAATGCAGGAGCCAAAACCCAATGGTTGAGGCATATGAACAAACTGCTGCACAGATGAATCCAGGCACCAACCCCAAACCACAGCTGACACAGGGGCAAGGCAGCTGCCGCACCTTTCCAATTACGTGCAGTAACGTCACGAAGCCGATGAAACCCAAGCTCATGATGACGACCACTACCTGGTGACACCACACCCACGCACAGAGGTCATGCCCACATTGAGCTCAGGCCTCGCAAAAACTGACCCAATGGCATTGATGACACGAAGATGGCCTTTCTTTCAAAGGAAGAATTTCCAGGCACTGGGCACCTTCTCCTGGCCACAACCCTGTGAGAGCCTTTTTCAATATGTGATGATGGAGCTGTGGCCGAGCTCAACAGGCCTGACACGCGACTCAGAGTGTTGACACTGTGGTTTCCGCGCAAGGGCCGCTGGGCACTGTTTCACTTAATCCGCGTGCCGCGAGCTGCCTAATCAGCACATCCCTGCTTGCAGACTCCTGCAGCCAAGACCTCGGGCCCAGCGTTCAACAGACAGGGCGACGTACGGAAACATGCCGAAGATCGTACGCCGCCCACAGCAATGCCAGACCTCAGCGAATGGCGATGTCAACGGCAGGTGAACAGTGGCACACTCGCAACCCAGCTGTTCAAGCCCTTGACCGGGACTTCCCGCCCCCGCCCCCGGCGGGACGCGTGCTCACAGGAGGGATCTTCAGACCGGGAGAGTCGTCGGTGTAGAAATTCATCACCCCCTGTGACACCCGACTCATTCCGCCGCCAGTGCCGCCTCCAGAGCTGGATGTGGCTCGCGCTGCGATCGAACCACGGCGCGGAATGTCAATACCAACGCCGTCGCACGGCCCCACCAAACCTGCCCGGCGAGCGGGCAAACAACACGCCTCCGAGCCAACAACCGTTGCCACATGTCAAGATCTCTGTAGCATCATGCCCTGTAGTTCTCCAGCGTCGGAAAAGGTCAATCGCGCGGTGCGGCGTGTGCCGTATCCAGGGCACCCGACGCACCTGTTCGTCTCCGGAGGGCTGCAGCTGGCGGGGCGTTGGACCCCCCTCGGGCGCCGGCACCCCTGTTGCCAGCCGTGGTGCTGGTCTGGCTCATGCTGCCCTTCGCCATGGCGTCGCCTGGCCGGTGAAAGCTAGCTGCGGACTGCCAGGGCGGTGGCGCAGACGTGGGACCTGTCTCGAGCGGGCTGCGTCGCCCTGGAGGGTTGTTGGGAGAAACACGGCAGACCTTTGCTGGAAGGAGCCTAGGAGTTCCGTTGCATAGGGCCTGTCCAGCATTGGATGGGGCTGAACCAGTTGTTTGTCAGTTTTGCAGTAAATCAGCAGGGCACCCGGTTCTGGGGCATCGGCTGACTCGCCATTTCCAAGGTGGACTGCCTCCTTCCCAACAGTCAGCGAATTCCCCAAACAAGCTGGGTGAGGTTGCTTCCTTGTTTGGCAGTTTATTTGTTTCAGCAGTGCTTTCAGCGTCACAAGGACAATTTGCGCAGGGCTGTGCTTGAGACGGGGGGCAGCGACAGTGGCGTCGTGAACGGTGACAAGACTGTGGCTGATACTATGGCGGGAGTCCCAACCGGAGCTTTTGGTGGATTCAGGATGTGGTTCTGGTCTGAATTCTGGCTGTGGTGCTTCCCAAATTTGTCAACAGAGTCTATTGTACCTGAATCTTGATTGCAAAGGTCTTTGAATTCTGGCTGCAGAGTTCCTTGGTATCTGGCAGTGGATTTTTGTCAGCGAACGGCATATTGCTTGTGCGCCTTTGGCAACTCAATGAGCTCCGCTGCCTCAGGCGAGAAAGAATGTGGAATCCTGATTCACACAACATGAGCAGTGGCAGATCGTCGACGGGTCCGTGTACCTTACAATGCTATAGCGATGGGGATCGTCTAGGTCCAGGCGATGGCAAATAGCCTGGCGCAATGGAATTGTCTATCATTTACTTGTTTGCGCTTTGGTTGCGTTTTAGATCATCATATAACGCGCATTGCTTGGGGATTTACTCATGAGTAAATTAATCATAAAGGTGACAATGTGCATCGTTGAAAGCAGTCGCTTTCGGCGGCGTCGACAAATTGCTTGCAGAATGTTCATCAATGCACACGCTGCAGGCAATCTGTTGGTCCGTCATATATGTGAATCATGCAAAAAGTGCAATGTGTATGCGCTGCTGGGTGTGTTGGCGGCAACTGTGGGTAGAACACCAACTCAGATCCGTCCTTGACATAAAGTTTGGGCTGGACAAAGATATGGTCCAGACAGCTACACCATTTGCTCAAGATTGTCTGTGGTGCTCACGTCTCCGATATTTTGACCAGCCTGCACTGAACTTCGAACGATATCAAGATTGTCTATTTCCATCCACCCCCCCTTGTTACGCGCACCAGCCTGATGTGGGAGACGTCCTACTAATGGCCCTTGGTGTGGGGGACGCCCTGCCCAAGGCACGTACTATTCCTCACCCAATGTAACCTTTATCCATATTAGGATACGGGGGTAGGAGGGGTGGTCCCGCCTAGGTGCCCTGTAAGGACCTAGGTGCCCGGCGAGGCGGGTCCGCGGCTCAAAGAGGGCAGGAACCCCACACCCACATCCTATTCGTAACATTTGGTTTCGGAGCCGCCTGAGGGTGGCGGCCACGCTTCCACCTGGGAGCGCGCGAGAGTACGAGACGCCGGAGCCCTTCCCCGGCCTCCTCCATGGAGGCTGAGGAATCGGAGGAACAAGCCGGGATGGGCAGGGGGAAGGACAAGCCCGGGATGGGCAGGCGATCGAAACAGCCCGGGATGGGCAAGGAACTGAACAAGCCCGGGATGGGCCAGGAGGTGTAACAGTCCGGGAGGACATGGCTGGACCCTCCACAGCCACATCGGCACCCGCAGCAGAAGATGAGCCGATGGAAGAAGTGGATACCC